GGAGGCCCAAGGTTGGGGACCACTGTCTTAGAGCACACCGTCCTGCCCTTCTGTGGCCGTGTGGAAGTCACTCAAGAAAGCTTACTTCACTCCTTTCATTGCAATTTGCAACAGCTCACTAGCAGAGTTGTTATCAAGCTTTGAACAACACGAAATACCTGCCATTGCGAATGGGGTGCTAGACAAGCTCACTGTGATCAACTGGAGACAACGACTGGGAAGGAAAAGACACCAAAAAAACTTTGCTGCCACTGACAAAACATTTACTGCTCAAAAAATCGATCAAGTATCCAAAATTCTGTGGAAAAATAAAACTTTAAATGCATAGGTGTTCTTTACCTTGTATTCTGCAAACTCTAATTTTGGCTGGGGACCATCACCAAAGGTTTCCTGAGTAATTCTCTGAATTTTCTCCTTTTTATGTTTATCTTCCTGAATTATCCTTGGATCTACTAGAAAACACATAATGTCTCATATACAATATCCTTTTGACAGCATGACCGATTCCAAGATGCACTGCAGTCTTTACAAATATCAAGTCTTACAAATATCAGCTGTGGGTCTGATGGCAATTTTTAGAATATATATTTTAATTGCATTTTAATTATTTTGCCCTTTTATTTTGGCTTTTCATTGTATTTTAAATGTTGTAAGCCGCCCAGAGACCTTCGGGTAGTGCGGGCGGCATATAATTTAAATAAATAAATAAATAAGCCCTTTGCCAAAGCATAGTTTAATGAACTCAGCAACAAAGAAACTGTGATTTTTTAACTAGTTGTAGGTGAGACAAACAATTTGGGCACTGTAGGTGCTTCAGTGTTTTAATGTGCATGCCCAGATGGGACATGTGCAGATGTCCATATAAAAGTGTAGTTTACTGGTCTTCAGCAATGGCCAAAAACTTTAATATCTACATAAACTGCTTTTGAATCAAAGGTATATTATATATGTGAGCAAGGCAGTATACATACCATTTTCCAAAGTGTTGCTTTTTTCTTGTAGAGGCTGGGGGTGATGGGTTTGAAAGTTCTGGGGAAATGTTAGGGTGCAGGAAAGAAAGAACATCAGAAGTTAGTACATTTTCATTTGTAACAGGTGATCACTGAAAACAAATGTTCCAAGTCCATGAAGTGAATTTTAGAAACAGTTCTCGAGGGGATCCTTTATTATTGCTATTAGAAAAAAGCTAATAGCAATAATAACAGTAATGGTTGAAGAAAATATGCCCCAATCAACAATAATTTTCTCTACATCCCTGATGCCAGAATGTGGAATTTGAACTTGCATTAAGAGGCAGAAGGCTGAGAACGCTAATCTGCCCCTGAAGTTCCCTTCAATCTGCCCATCTCCACTCCCAGCATTCCCATGTTGATATAAGAGGCCTCCTGAATATAAGGTGACTTCTATGTATGTCCAACTGAATGTACATGTTCTGCGATTCTACATAGAAATCCCCTTGAGATCGTCTTGCTCAATGTCGGCAATTTTTTAATGTGTAAACACATTTCCTGTTTACACACGATATCTGATCAGGGCTCATGTTGCAACTGTATTTGGAAAAGGAAAGTGAATACAGTGGAGCCTCGCAATACGATTTTAATTTGTTCCGCGAAGATCATTGTCTTGTGAAAAAATCGTCTTGCGAGGTTCCCTATGCATCGGTCTTAGAAAAAAAAAAGTATTGCGAAGCATCAGTCTAAAAAAAATCTCTTGCGAAGCACCACAGTGATCACAGAAACCAATCGTCTTGCGGGTTTTTCATCCCACGAGGCAATCGTCTAGCGAGGCAGCACTGTACTTTGTAGCTGGTGCATTAGTATATTTTGTTATCTGTTAAATAGCATCTGCAAAAAAGTTGCAAGAATCGAAGATACACTCCATCTGTTAGCTAAGAACAATGTGAAGAAGAAAACACACATCTCAGTCTAAACACCTGCTCACGGTTAAGTTTATTACCTAAAGACTTCTTCCTCTGTAACACTCTATGATGTCTTAGAAGACACAATTTCCCCAACCTGATTGGAATTCTAGAAACAGGTCTAAAACATTTACCCCAAGATTTGGCTTAGAATAGAGTAATGAAGATTCTCACCTGGCTATAGCGATTAAACACAATATCTTTAATAGAGTCTAAACAGTGGCTCCGGAGGTCCATTTCATGGATGTCATTGTAACTGGAAGCAACCAACAGGGCCTTCAAACAAAAATTGAGTTGATTTTTCACTGATGTTGAAACTCCACTGGTATTTTATTTATTATTTTCTGTTTATACAATCATAATTTAATAGTTATGCATTATTAAATTTCAGCTAACTCACAAAAGTGCAGAAAAATGATACCGGATGTTCATTCCTTTTTGCTACATCTAAATTTAGATATTATCTTAAAGATGACGTGACATGCAAGTACATTTTACCTGACAAAGCATTGGTGTGTAGCTCTTGCGTCTAGAAATAGACATGAAGACATAAGGAGTCTGTGAGTGATACACAACGTAAGTTGGCTTATACTGGTTTGGTTTTGTAAACTGTGTTCCCCATGCAATTCGAATCCATATTGCATTGTCTTCATATTCTTTGAAGGTGATGGTTACCTGGTTTAAAGGTAAGAGATGAATCTACTGTGCTCTCAGGTGGCAGAGTTAAGCATGTTAAATAGTGAGTACACCAGAGTTGAAGGCTATGCAAAGGGACAAACACGATTGTTTCTTACATGTACATTATAAAGCAAATGAACGCCCTGTAACTACTTTTCTAATCTGTACCAAATAGTGGAAAACACAATATATTTAATCATGCTCCTCACATGATGATCAGGTGCATATTTTTTATAACAGATCAACCTTCCTTAACCTCCCCCCCCCCAAAAAAAAAATATTAGAGTTCAAAAGAAGAAGTATTGTACAATAACAGGAAATCCAGCTTTTTTTTCACTTGGAAGTCCAAACTGCTTAAGATTTCATAGGGTAATAGGATAAAATAAGTAAAATATCTTCATCGTAGAAAATTCTATGAATTTTTCATTGTGTAGTCTTACATTTTTCAGAGCTGACCGAAAGCTCTCTTTAAATTCCTTTTTAAACTTCACAAAGTCAAAAACGTCATTTTCATCACCTACCAACAGAATAGAACATATTAAAATAGACTTAATTACAGATACAATGTATACAAATTGTTTATATCAGGCCCCTGAGGCAACATTAATTTTAGATTGATGGAGGTCTTGCTTTCATCATTTACCAATCTAAGAAATAATGACAGGTGGTTCACATTCTTGGCACACGCTCAATGGATCTACTGAAATCAAGAGGGCACCATAGTCATGACTTAAGTTCCATTAATTTCAGTAGTCTTCTGTTTGAAGTGTAACCCAGCCTGTCACTAACACAGCAGCCTGTGGCGATTTAAATGGTCATACACATATTTTGAAAAGATATCTGATAAGGCGAGTTTTTGCAATCTGTGAATATTTACAGCATTATAAATATATTACCTTAAGATGCCACCAGGTTATAATTTTTGCTGTAACAGTATAATACGGTTAGACCTCTGGAGTTTAAAAAAAACCCACACCAGTATCCTTTTGCCCAGCTATTCCAACATACAGGCAATGATATCACTGGAAGATTACTGTTAATTAAAGACTCCGAGTTATGTAAGACTTGTCTCATTACATGTGAGTCATACACAACCTGGGGAAATTGAAGTGGGGAGTCTTTAATTGGTGGAAACCTGCCACTAATAGTGATACCATTATCCATGTACTGGTGAAGCTAGACAGTGGGATTTTGGAAATAGTTGCATGGCAAACATAGTTTGCTATGTGAAGGAAGAGTGTGTGTAAACACACAATACCAGAATCGAGATGTAGCTTCTCATTTATTTCCCCTTCTTGAGCCATCTTATCTCAGCAATTAACAGTTTTCACATGAACAATTTTAAGCTTTGCAAAAGTGTAAAGTAAAGCAGTCCATAGGTTTTGGGATTTCCTGTAAAATGACATAAGCACCTACTTTACAGTTCCTTGTGAGAATGAGCAAATTTAGCTGATACAACATTGAACATGAACACATATGCCTAATTTAGTATTTTATTTATTTAATACCGAAATTGACTGGAGGTTAACATGATAATAAGGTGTTAGCTCCTAATGGCTGAGTCCTTTTCAATAGAAACGTCCTGATGACTACAATGGAGAACACTGTTGTTTCAGCAAGCATTAAAAGTCAGCAATAAAGAATGCATTCCTGCTATAATAATGCACATGAGAAGAACCTAGGAGTTATGTTTTTACAGAGCAATAGCATACCTTCTTCTCTAGTCATTTGATAAACAGTCCAGCACTTCTTGTCCCTGTAGGTATAGTTGTCTGAGAAGAAGAAAAAAAGAGAGGGGAAGTAGAACTGAAGCAAATCGAAAGCTCATTGAGACCATGAAGACTCAAGAGATTGTTCTCATGCTCTAGCAACTCCTTTTTGACACAATCACGTTTCCACAGTACCCTCTCGATAATTGGTTAGCAGCTTTATTTTACGTCTTTTTTACAATTTCTGTATTATATGCAACTGATCTCTATTGCCCAGTCACTGTAGAACAATTCCGCTCCTTTTACAGATGATAAGGCTGAATAACAATAAGTTCTTTAACAATGTGGACTGGTTCGGAAGCAAGGGGGACACCACTGTTTAGTCAAATCGGCCATTATGATGGTCAGACTCTAGTAAGAGAGGAGCAAGGAGATGAGAATGTTGTTAGCCACTACATAAAAAGATGCATGGGTAGGGAATTTCTGTTTCAGGAGTAAAGGAATGGCCGTTTATGGATATATGAGTAAAGAGAAAAGGGTTAAAAAACAGATGGGTTTTTGGAAGAAACGTTTCTTCGGACCAGAATAGTGATGGTACTCTGTTTCCAGAATGGGCAAAACAGAACGATAGTGTAAATGTGTCTATAAGGTATGTGTTTGTGGGTTGAAACTCTCAGAGTTTTGACTGGGGATTTTTTTTTGGAGAATTCTGGGAGGTGGGGTCCAGAAAAATGCAGGGGCACACCCCTTTTTACCCTCTTATCTCTTCAATGCATTTTATCCCTTTCTCTGTTCAATCTGCATGCAGAACTTATCACACGGAAGTGCAGGCTAGATTCAAAGGAAGGAGGAGTGAAATGTGGTGAAGAAAATGTCAATGGTTTGGAATGTCCAGATGTCACTGTCTCGCTGGCAGAGAGCAGTGGTGACTTTTTTTGGGGGGGGGGAGGAAGGTGCCAGGGGGCAGGACTGCAGTTGAACATCAACAAAACAAAAATTACGTCTACAGAAGAACTACACAACGTTCAAGTTGACAATGAAGAAATTGAAATAGTGAAAGATTCTGTATAGTCGTGCCTTGCTTAACGAACGCCTCACTTAATGAGGAAATCGCTTCACGATTAGGTTTTTGCAATCGCAAAATGATGGTTTAAATGGGAAAAATCCGCTTCACGATGATCAGTTCCCTGCCTCGGGAACCGATTTTCGCATTATGACGATCTAAAAACAGCTGATCGTTGGGGTTCAAAATGGCCGCCAGGTGAACAAAATGCCCCCCCGCTGTTTTCTAGGACGGATTCCTCGCTTTACAGGCAGCGAAAATGGCCACTCCTATGGAGGATGGTTATTGTGGGTTTTTTGGGCTTCTTGGCTGTGTTCTGAAGGTGGTTTTTCCTAACGTTTCGCCAGTCTCTGTGGCCGGCATCTTCAGAGGATCTATGGAGGATCTTCGCTGGACGGTGAGTTTTCAGCCCATTGGAACGCACTGAAGGGTTTTCAGTGCGTTTCAATGGGCTTTTTTATTTCACTTAACGAGGATTTTGTTCTACAGCGATTTCGCTGGAACAGATTATCCTCGTTAAGCGAGGCACCACTGTACTTTGATTCGGTTATCAATCCAAACAGAGACTGAAGCCAGGAAATCAGACATTTAACTGGACAATGCAATTTACTTCTAATAAACAGAACTGGAATGGAAAGAGCACCCCCTTTCCTTATCTGTTCACAACTTACTTAAGATGCATTTATACCATGCTTTGTGTAGAAACGAAACTTTGCTTACATTGCTATTTGGCTTGTATACTGTTCACTTGATGCACAATAACCAGCTAAGAGATCTATTGTTTCTTTTGCCACGAGAACACAAACAACAGGGTCCAGAGCCACCATGGAATGAGAACAATATCAATATCATCTGAAAAAGGTGAGAGGGAAGTTATATACTGCTTCATATTACTTCAAAAGTGAATCTGGACTTCCTTTCTACATACAATCATGTGATTTGCTAGACAAATACTAATGTCATCAAGAATCTTGTTTAAAATCAACAGAATGATTATCAGTTGTGCTATAAAACAATTAATAATCATGCTATAACTACAGCTAAAAATGAGCATATTACTTACAAATTATGTCCAGATCTGCTGCATGCTTCATAGTTGCACAGTTTTCCTTCAAGACAATAAGAACAACTCATAAGCAAGACTGCACTGTTTATACACTGCTATGTGGTGTAATGGATAGAGTGTTGTATCAAAACACAAGAGACTTGGGTTCACTAGTGGTAGCAATAATAAACCACTCCTTGAATACCCCATGCACATCAAAAATCTTGTCCGGGTTGCCATGATTTGGGAGTGATGTGATTGCACATAACAACTTTTCAAAATCTCTGGATATTACTAACTTTTGCAGTGACTATGGAAATGGCAATTTATGGTCTTAATAATAATAATAACATTAGAACTGCAGAGCTGGAAGGAAACCTATTTCGCTGTACAGCGATTTTAATGGAATGGATTATCGTCGTCATGCAGGGCACCACTGTATAAGAGAGCTGATACAAATGGTATGTGTGTATAAATGTACTACATTGTTTGCAGGCAGTAGGGTGCCAACAAATTGGTACAAGTTCAGAGAAGGCCAACAATGAGGGTCGGGGCTGGAAACCAAGCCCTAGGAGGAAAAACTGGAAGAATTGGGCACGTTTAGCCTTGAGAAAAGAAGACTGAGGGTGACAGGATAGCTCTTTTCAAATATTTGAAGGGCTGTCATATAGAGAAGGGGCAGGATATGTTCTCAATCATCCCAGAGTGCAGGACACACAACCATGTGCTCAAGTGACAGGAAGCCAGATTCAGGCTAAATATCAGAAAAACCTTCTTAACTGTTATAGTACGACAATGGAACCCAAAACACACACCAGATTTAATCAAATGCTTATTTGATCCACGCATCCGGGTAAGGGGTCGGGAACCTGTGGCTGCTTTGTGCGCATGCGCTCCAGGGTTCTTTATGCCACTCCTCAGCACCCCACGCCTTCCAATTAACCACAAACCCATTTTTTCAGTTAACAAGACAAAAATGGAGCAATGTTTACAGTATGTAACAACTACAGTATTTTTACCCTGCCTTTCTCCTCAAAAGGACACAAGGCATTTTACTTGTCCTAAATATGCACATTGCCCCCTCTTCTTCTTCTTCTTTCTCTCTCTTTATCCAAAAAGAAAGCTACTTTCAACCACTTCTTCATTCAGATTTGGTGCACAATGAAAATCTGTTGTCTGTACAGGTTTGGGCTGGAGGTGAGGTATGGCACCAGTTGTGCAATCCAGATTGTGTATGCCAGCTGCTGCAGGCAGCCCCGCCTCATTGCTCTGCTGTATCTGAGTACAGTTGTGCCCCGCTTGACGATTACCCCGTTTAACGATGAATCCGCTTCACGATGATGGTTTTGCGATTGCAAAAGGATGTTTGAATGGGTTTTCTTTTCCGCTTAGCGATAATCGCTAAACGATGTTTTTTCAACAGCTGATTGGCAGTTTTCAAAATGGCCGCCGGCTTTCAAAATGCCCCCCCGCTGTTTTTAGGAGGCATGTTTTGCAAGACAGGCACCAGAAAATGGCTGCCCTATGGAGGATCTTTGCTTTACAATGAGGTATTTCGCTCTTTAGAACGCATTAGCCGGTTTCTAATGCATTCTAATGGGCTTTTTAATTTCGCTTGACGAGGATTTCGCTTAACAGCGATTTCAACGGCACCGATTATCCTAGTCAAGCGAGGCACAACTGTAGTAAAAATATTTGGTTTCTGATGCTAGACCAACTTAATACCAGAGCAAATGTTCTGTTTTCTGTAAGTAGATATCCAAATATTTGATAGCAACCAAGACTGCCATCTGTTGGTATAACACTTTTGGACATCCATCAGTTCCTTCCATAAGGGGTGAAAAACTCCAGAGCACTGAAGCCATACAATTTCTATTTCATTTGTTTTGGTTTGCAAATAGATGGGTAAATAAATAGCAGCAGCACAAACTCCTACCAAGACGGGGCATTCTGAAGCCAATCTAGAAGACACTTAGACTGCAGAGCAAATGCAGTATTCAACCAAAGACACGGGAGGGGGTGTCATTCACTTCTCATGGGGCGGGTTCATCGCCCTTAAGCTCCAACGCCGTTTCCATAAAAATGAAGGAATATTTCTTGTCACTGGCCATGAGAGTAAGCCATGATAGGCTCAGCCAAATTAGAGACTCAGCTTTAACAGTTTCTCCACAATTCTTTTCATACTTCATATAACTAAGCAAGCCTATACCCTAGAATATATTGCATGCCATATTTTTAAATAGAGTATGCCAACAGATTTGGAGGAAAAATACAAATCTATTTCTGTGTTTTTTTTCCCCCTACCTTGCAAAGTTGGAGTACTTCTTCAGCCACTTTTTCCTTTACTTGATGAATGTTTAAAGACTGAAGCTGGGTCTCAGAGAGAAACTTCCACATGGACAGCATTTTTGTTGTTTCTGAACGTGGAATCCGCAACACAGTTCTTTTAATGTATTCGGCCAGTGTCGCATCCATAACAAAGACCCTTTGAAAGAAAAGAGGGATTAAATTAATTTTTTTTAAAACATTGATCTCCTTGAACAAGGGCAAAGCTCTCCTTATCACAATAACCACCTTGAGAGCTAGAGAGAGCGGCCAGTCGGAGACTACCCAGTGATTTGCATGACTCAGTATGGGCCCCAAGCAATCCCAAGTCTGTATCCAAACCTTAACCAGGACTTATGGTGCATTCTGAATTCACACAAAGCGAGGATATAGCAGCAGTGAAAAAAGTAAATCCAGTGATAAGAATCAGCAGAAAAAGAATTCAAAGCGGCAAGTACAGTGGTGCCTCGCTAGACAGTTACCCCGCATGACAGTTTTTTCGCTAGAAATTGACTTTTTGCGATCGCTATAGCGATTCGCAAAACAGTGATTCCTATGGGGAAATTTTGCTGGACAATGTTTGGTCCCTGCTTCGCAAACCAATTTTCGCTACACGACGATTTTGACAGCTTCCTCCGCGCTTGCAAACAGGTGTTTTCGGCACCTAAGCTTCGCAAGACAGCAATTTAAACAGCTGGTTGGTGGTTCGCAAAGCGGCTTTCCTATGGCCAATCTTCGCTAGACAACGACGATTATTCCCCATTGGAACACATTAAACAGGTTTCAATGCATTCCAATGGGGAAATGCTTTTCGCTAGACAATGATTTCGCTAAACAGTGATTTCAGTGGAACGGATTATCATCGTCTAGCGAGGCACCACTGTATTCAATGGCATTCTAATTAGCATATAGCTTAATTGTTTTTTTAAAAACGTTTAATTTATTCTGTTTTGAGTTTTATTCTTTTAATATTGTGAGCCGGCTTGGGTTCCCCTTGTGGGGAGAAAGGTGGCCTATAAAACAAACAAACAAACAAGAAGAGGATGATTGAAATAATCACAGGATTGAAGCAGCTTTTGAAATAAAAACAGTTAAAGCTTCTAGGAAAGAGAAGCAGATAAAACTGTGACATGAACCAGACAATAGCCAGAGACAAGCACAGCCTTGTCTGGGATGCC